AAAAAAAAAAAACAAGACCGTAACTGTCAAACAGTGATAAATATTGGGTCATGAGTCTACAGACTGACTGATCGTCAATCGCAATGTGACTTTGACTTTGATTTGTTCTGTTGAATACAGTAGAACAATTTGGAGGAGGCATAAATTTTATTCCGAATGTTAGCGGTGCCAAATGAATCACAAGGGCCAAACGTATGAAATTTCGCATATAGATATACCGTGAACATGGTTACAAATTTTGTACGAAGCAGCTCTGCACTGTCAGTCACTGTCCGGATGCAGGTATGTACATAAAATGTAAGTAGAGACTCCCGGTAGATGGGTACAAGTGGGTACCAGTGCACAAACCTAAAGTTGTGGTTGGGTCTGTAACAGTGGCCTGATAAGACAGCAATAATTGTAAACAGTCACCGCATACTAAAACAGTAATTGTAAACAGTGGCAGAAACTAGAACAGAAATAGTGAACAGTGGCGTGATACTAGCACCGAAAATGTCAGTAGTTGCCAGGACTAACTGGGTAACTGTAAACAAGAAGTTCTGGGAAGAACCAAACACCTACAATCCTCTCATATGATAGGGGCTGCATACAGACCGGCGCATCCAACAATTCTTCTACTGTTACGTGTATTCGTTGCGCGGGCACGTGTTTACCGAGTCGCTGCCTAGCAACGATAAGGGACAGGAATACAGACTGACAGACTAGTGGCGGGGGGATTTGATTGGCTCAGGCATTCAAGTTAATGGGATACACAGACAGCAAGGTGATTTCATATGCCAACTTACAGTTTTTTTCCCCCAAAATATGGAAAGCAGTCTAACAAGATATAGCTCATGCTCATATGGTAACCCACATTTTCCTGGTGGTTGACAACATTTGATTCTTTTATCTGTGATTTTTTTCTCCGTCATTTTGTGGAGACAGATTCTTCTAATCATTAAACTTCTCCCAAACTGAAATACAGTATTCAAACACCACAAATTCAAAAATAAACGTCGGAAATAAAACAATTGTGTAGGCCAAAATTCTAGTCTCTAAAGCCCAAAAGTTATCATTAATATCCAAGGCCTCGTAGACCGTACGTTATGCATGGGAATTCCGTCCATTAGGCCCAGATATCTACAAACTGTCAGTCACTACCAAACACATTTCCATAAATTTCACATTTGGACACTGGTGTTATTACCATATGCATGATAAGTGTTCCTGGAAGGTTAAGATGTGATTCTACAACGCCATTATCAGCTTGGATATCTCACAAACAAAAAACAAGTTATAAGAAGAACATATGACATCATCCTTCCATAAAATTCTAGCACGTTAAGTAACGATTCATACAATTTAGTACTCCATTTAGCCTGAATGTTCAACTTACATTAGCAAAGATGCCGGTCGCACAACAGCCATGAATGTAAGTGTTAAAGCATAAGAAGCGTTTCACGTACACTTTTTATGAACATTTAAGCTATATTCCCACAGAAATTTTACATGCTTATCTCCAGTGGTTCGTTAGTTACTTCTGCCATAACGAAAGGTAAATTCATTCCACGGCCGACATATTATTTTAATATAATTAATCATTAGCATCGACAACATTTTATACCAGGAGAATGAGAAATGTCTAGGAATTCATTTGGATGTTTGTGCTCCAAAATGCAATAGACCTTTCCATTCTCCGCCAAAGAAATTTTATATTAGTAAATTTATGTTGTTTTTCATGAAACACTTCTATAGGCCGTAGCATTCATATCCTTCTTTATAATATCAGCCTTTATTTTTCCCTTGGCACTACAGCCCCAGTGGGCCTAGGCCTGCCTCCATGAACTTCTCCGTTCACTTCGGTTTTTCTAGATCTTACACATTCGGTAGGACTCCTTGGGCGGGTGATTAGCTCGTCGCAAGACCTCTACCTTTACACAAACACAGAAAAACGCACACACACAAACTAAACATCCATGCCCTGAGTGGGATTCGAACCCACGATCCCGATTTCCAAGCGAGCGAAGACAGTACATCCTTTATTACGTGTTATTACACGTAGTTACATAATCTGATTTACGAATAGTGCAAGCGCACTAAAAGGCATTACAAGTACTGCGTGGTCAATTAGAGGTTTATTTCAATATGTCTTTCAGTCCGTTTGTACTCTCATTATATTGTAGCGCGTAGACACGTTACTATGTAACGATCGCAAACAAGCAGGTTCCCACGGCAACAAATCAACACTCTACAAAAGAGAAACTGTTAGAAGCGGTGTTTTCTGTGGTCCGCGCCGCGACCGTTGCTACACTCGAATCTGAGAGAGTAAAATGTGGTCATGAGTCCTGTGGGACTTGGACCTGAGAATGCCTGTGCTGGGAAGAACCAGCAGGAGTTGTAAATGACAGACACATCCTGTCATCATAGAGGATGCTACATAAGGACTCCAACCGCAATACTGCAGTTGGAAAATAAAATTACTGGTCATGGGTCTGAAGGGGCTTGTCACCAAGATGGAGGTAAACAGCCAGTAGTGAAGTAATTCTGACTCTGAAAGTCAAGCTGTAAAGAGAAGAATTTATGTGTGATATTTGGAGTGTGCAATTCAGTGAGACTGTTATAGTTCCTGTGTTAAAATTCGTTGTGGAGACTAATAGATTGAGGACACTAGTCTTCACGTGTCAGTGATCCGTAAAATGTTGAACGAGTCGTGAGTGTAGAAGTGGTCAATAAGTTGAGTTACCAATCTGAAGCTTGTCTATAGTCTTTTAGATTGAGTGAAACCATATATTAAGTATATTAAGCATGTCTTCACAACTTTGTTGACTCCTTCTTTGATATTTTCAACATTACTGATTGGGCTACCATATGCACTTCTTACATGATGAAGCAGTTCTACCATTTATTGTAAAAGTAAAAAAAAATCTGAAGTTGTCCCTGTGCTTAATTAATTAAGCACTATGGCATGAAGATATACGGGAAAATATAGCTCCATCATTCTTAACTATGGCACTAAATGAAGGTAAGCCATTTATTGTACAAGTCTAAAATTTTATATCACTCTTACTCATTGTGCTGAGCCCTTCTTGAGAAGCCACCAATTGTGCAGCTAACTCAAGAACTTCCCAGCATTTTATGGAACCCGAAGGTTCATTACCGTATTCAAGAGAACCCTCCACTGGTCCCTATCCTGAGACAGATCAATCCAATCCATCCCATCCCATCTTATCTCTCGAAGATCCATTTTACAATCATCCACCCACAAAAAAATGGCATGCCCAACAAAAAGTGAAACGTGCTTCAACAGAGTACGCAAATTGTCCTGGGTCTGCTGCAGCATGCAAGTTACATTCTACAAGACAATTTTAAATTTGGAGATGAAATCACATACAGACAGTAGGCAAGGACAAACTTCTCAACATCAACAACTGTTGTAGGCATAGGTGAAGAATTTATTTGTGATTTGGCTGACAAGATTTGGGTCACTTTTCATACTCGTGGATTTGTAGCTCAACAGCAGGCTTAAATTCTCAGATGATTCAGAAATCATTTAAATGAACACGAATTTGGTGCATTAGTTTATTTTGCAGAAATTTATCTTCCACTTTCCAAGATGCAGTAGAACATCATTACTGGACCAGTAACACTACATCCTACTGTAATATACTTGTACCATGTCCATCAACCCATTAAATCACGGCCATGTCCTTGTCTATATTTAGTGACTACATGGAACACATAACAAGCCTGTTTCGTGCTTTTCAGAAGGTTGTGGCTCAGTGTATAAAGACATTGGCCAGCAAAATGAAAAATATCCTGTACTTCAGTGACAGAGCAACATCATAAGAACAGAAGTTATTAAGTGATAAGAACTACTTTGGAATTTACACAGAGTAGCATTCTTTGCCACCATATCCTTGTAATGTTGTAGAGTGCACAACAAAATGGCAAACATCCACAAAATGCTTCAATGTTTGTATGATAAACAAATACTGACACTCAAAAACTTATATAAACTTTCATAAGAAAGCATTCATGGAGTAAAATATTTATATGTTAGTAAAGTAGGTATCACAAAAACTGAAAAAGATCTAAAGCAATGTTTCAGTAAATGTACACAAATTCCAGACACTAGGGAAAATAACCACTACATACCATTAAATTCCAATGTAATGAGAATCTCTCAATTTTCTGCTTCAAGTATATTCCTTTGCTCATTTCTTAGGGAACTATGGAGGACCTACTCATACTGCATAAAATAACATCATCTTGTCAGTGTTGCCTGCCTGAATGCTCATCATCATCCCTCCACCATCAACAAGGACAGGACATCAATACATACTCCATGATGGGATACAGTAGAGTATAGCTTTAACTGTGAAAAAGTAAGAAATAGATGGTCACTACGCAAGCACATTTACTTGATAGTGCAAATTAAAGCTATGCTTGTGGGTCTAAAACAGTGATAATGTGAAACTACTGTAGTCTATTATAACTGAGTCCTGACTGGCTGACAGTGGGGTGTGGAGAAGCTGCCATTTATACTTTACACAGGTTAAACAGTGACCACTGTCTCATCAAATTTTCACTTGGTTTTCTCTGCGCAACAGATTTCATGTAACTGATATTTTCATGAATAATTTGATCAAATACACCTTTATGCACTTTAAAAAACTGAAAGTTATAAAAAAGTTTTATAAGTCACTTGGCAGCATATTGTGTGAATTCATATGATTTAAGTTTCATCCAGACATCTGTATTACTTTTGGATCTATAGTGTTTTGTTATGATTTAATGTTCCTCTGACTGACTTGAAAGCAACTATCATTACACACAATTTAGCATTCCTCATCTTCAGATGTACAAGAAAATACTTTGTACTTCTACATAAGTTACATAAACCTATGGTTATACCAATTTTCAGCTAATTAAAAAATAGGTTGCCACACAGACTTTTGGCAAAATAAGTTGATGTGTTACATAGCATTTGTTTTGAAAAGGGAATATTTAATTTTTCTGTATTCTACTGCATATGATGCTGCTAAGCTTTAGCACATTTCATAATCCCTACATGCTAGAAGCCTATGTTAAATAACAAACATAATTTGCATTAACTGGTACTTTGGTGCGGGCAAGCAAGGAAACCTCCTGAGTACTAATCCCATCCATGGAGCTGAATCATTCTTGATAAGCCAGAACAGCTGTACATCTACGCAAGGAAATTCTCAGGATTTTAGAGAAGCTGGAGTTCATTACTGTGTTCAAAAGAACCCACCACTGGTCTCTATCCCATGCAAGATTAATCCAATCCACATTCCCTCATTCTCTTTCTCTAAAATCCGTTTTGATATTAACCTCCCACCTAAGTCTAGGTCTTCCTAGTGGTCTCTTATGTTCAGATTTTCATACCCAAACCCTGCAAGCACTCTTGTTTTCTCCCAAGCATGTTACATGCTAGGAGCATCTCCCTCAACAAATTTTAGCATACTACTTTTCACGGTTAGGAGTTGTGATCCCACTCCCCAACATATCCGCACTAGCGGCTATCTGCAACCGTTTATTCAACACAGACACAGCTATCATCAGCACCTGGAGGCACCTCACCCATCCAAAGGCTCAGGTTACACCATGCCATGATAGGGGGCTCACTGGTGTTAATATGTTACTGTTGATTAGTTAAAATACTGTAAAATATCTTTTGGCATGTGAAAATTACCTTCGCTTGTACTGAGTGATTAAGGTTAATTTCAAGACAGGATACATACTTGTAACTCAAATATCTGGGCAAGTTTCAATGAAGTTTACAATATTCTTTGGGAAAGAGGTCCTCTCCACTTGAAATAACCGTCCTTTTGCAGCATGAACCGGTCTCTGTGGAAGAAGACTACAGCAGTGACACAGAATTAAATTTACCCTGTGGGAGTTCTTAATTCTAACCTTTTTATTACTACATTTAAAGGTTCCCTCAGGTACTTCGATGTTCAGAATTGTTATTTGTGCTTGCCTCATCTTTGTTACCTGAGAAATAAATGTAATAATTACATTCACTTTCACTGCAGGTAACATTTAAACGTATTTTCTCAAGGGTTTCAAAAATATCTTCCCTTAAACTCCCACGAAAATATAACTCGCGGGCAACATACGTACAAACGCATTCAATTGTCATTGTACAACGGCGAACATGAGCAGTTGTCTCTGCCACCTATGTTCAACCGAGAGCAACAGGATCGAATTGCATGATCTCGAACGGTCTGGACCAATCACAATCGTATCGTATCACATTGTAACATATCGTATTTGTCTGAATCAATGACAATCAATGACAGAGCCGCTAAGAAACATATTGAATCGTATCGATTGTGTTTGTCTGCACTAATCACAGAGCCCGACAGAAACCTATTTGACTTAATGTCCCGTTGGTGGCCTTGATCCAGTATGGACGCTTATCGTGTCGACGTGGACAAAGTAGGAACTAACATAGTTCAAATTATTCGTGAGAGATGGTAGAAGCGTATTGAATTTAGAGAAGCGTATATGTAGTAAACAATGCAGTGAGAAGTTTGTGTGGGAATCTGTTTTCCCAAGTAAATCGGAATGATCTGGATGATCTGGATTAAATACACTTGATCACAGTTGAGTAGAGTTTAACGGAGGTTACTTAGTACCACGAGTATCATTGAAATTTAAGCTTCTTCATTCTTGCTACATGCATCTTAACTTTTATAAAAAGAGCATGGTATGTCCAACAAATGTGATGACCATCGTATCCTGTTAGTGTTTGCCAATTCTGAAGTGTTCTAGCGCCAGCAAAAACAGGCTGCATGATGCTAGTCTTATTTACATTTGCAAGACGTGAGGTCCTAACGTCGGTGACTACGAAGGTAGTATTCTTCATTCATGTTTCATTATGGTTTATTTAACTATGCTTTCAGTAACTTAGTGTAAGTTACATTGCTTCGATTGCCGATTGCTAGGATTATTGGCGCTTAATGAGTTAGAATGTGGAAGGTTGCTGTCCTAGCGTAATCTGTCGTACTATCCTGATACTTGCCTGGAGGGACTGAGGAAACCCAAGAAAAAAACAGTCGGGATATGTAGGATTTGAGGTTCTAACGGCCGCGGTTATGACGACTTGTCATCTAGGATATAATGCCGTCTAGTCCGTTAATAGTCAGCCGACTTTTCGGAGGAGCATATATTCTCCATCTTCAGGTTGACGCAGGTAGCATGCAGAGCGGGATGGCCAGGGTAGATGGTGTCTGGACCGAGATTTCAACCCAGGATCTCTCACTACGAAACAGGCAAGACAGTAATTCGGCCTCGATGTTCGGTGCCAGTCAGTTATCTGATCTGTATTTTGTTTTCGACTACAGTCCTTTCCGTTGGGTGTGCTGGGTGTATTACAATTGCGGTTGGGTGATGTTTCTGGGATATCTGTCTCTACGAATTACGCTTTGCACGTTCGAGTTTAACGAATTGGCACTGTCACACTAGACAACAGAAGAACAGTGAATGGAGTAACAAAAATAATGTTTCTAGTATCCCACACGGGAAGACGTAATGTTATCCTGTGACCTAAATGCTCAAATTTCACGCCCGTCCCTTCTTCTATTGAATTCTTTTCTGAGTCATAATCTGTTCCACAGTATATCCGAATTTAGAGTGTGAAAAATAGTGTCAAAACTTAGCAGTTGTAATTCAGTTACGCAGGGGAAGTTCAGCAGTTGGTAACAGAGTCCCTGTATTGCTCTAAGCCAGCTGACTTCCACTTTAGTGCAAACACTCTGGTGCTGTTTATCTTAAATATCTTTGAGAGCATGTTATGTCTTAGGTCGCTCCACAGCTCAGGCAATTAGTCGCCGGTTTCACACCGCGACTGCCCGGGTTCGAACCCGGTTCAGGTCATGTGGGATTTGTACGTCTGTCTGCATGTTTCAGCTCGAAAATTAAAAAAGCTGTTTTGATTACATTTTGTACTGGGGATTTACACTAGAATGTGACCTGCGAATTTCTTTTTAACCCATGCTGGACAAATATCTCTACTTTACGTTAAGTTGAAATCGAATCTTGTACCTACAAATTTTAAAAAATCGGCTTATTGAAGAAATGGTCGTTAGGTAAAAAATTAAATCTCAGTAAAGTTTACAATTTTTAACGGAACCTTTTTTACGATATTCTTATAACTAATTAAATCCACTGAGACGAGTCCTTCCTGGGAAGTCTGTAGCTGTCCAGCCACTCAAGCAATTCCCAGCGTGTAGTAGACTCCGAAGTTTCCTAACCACGTTCAAAAGAGTCCGCCACCGGTGAGCTGTTCTTAGCCAGTAGAAATCGATCAACCCCACCCTCCCCTTTTTATTTCTCTATCTATCTTCTGTCCCATACGTTCTACCTGCCCTGCCCACCTCTTCCTCTTTGCTATGATTATTCTAACAGTATTAAGGGAATAGTACAACTTATGAAGCCCTTCGTTATGCAGTTTTCCCCAGTTCCCTACTACTTCATCCCTCTTAGATACAAATATTCTGCTCAGCACCATATTTTCAAACACTCTCAGTCTACTTTCTTGCCTTGATGCGAGAATCCAATTTTCGAGGTACTCTACCAACTTAAGGAAAAGCAGAGACGAATAATTTATTTCTTTATGTATTACATTATGGGAGTTGGGATAGCGTAGTCGGTATAGCGACTGGCTACCGGTTGGACAACTGAGAGGTTGGAGTTCGAGTCCCGGTAGGGTCAAGAATTTTCTCCAAGTCGCCCATTCCAGCTCTGGGGTCCACCCAACCTCCTATCCAATGGGTACCAGAGGCTCTTTCCCCCGGGGTAAAGCGGCCTGGGAGTGAAGCCGACCACTCGCATCAAAATAGTACCGAGATCAAGAAAATGTGGATCTACACATCCACTCTCCCATACGCCATCATGGCGTAGTCCTCTATTATTTAAGCACAGGATCAACTTTACCTTTTCTATCTTTATATATTACAGTATATGTACTGTATTAGTTCTATTAACGGCACAGTTTATGAGCCTTTGTATATTTTCTGTATTATTGGGTACATTTCAAAGAAAGGTATTCTTATCGGCAATAAACGGACCTCACTTTAGTCTGAAAGTAAGGGGCTTTCGGTGAAAGGGACAAATCCCAGTGTAATCCTTCTATTCGTTATTAAGTAATTTGTTCCTTGCATAATGTGATACAATAACGGTAAAAGGTAAAGTTATCCCTATGCCTAACTAGTAAAGCACTACACAATGAAGACACATGGGGGAGTGGATTTATAAATCCACGTATTCTTGTCCTCGGCACTAGTTGGAGATCAGTGGTCAGCTTCATGCTCCGGCCTCTTTTCCTCCGGCATCCATTAGCTAGGAGGCTGGGTGGGCCTCAGAATCAGTCTGGACGATGTGGAGGAGAAATATTTTGCCCCTGCCGGGACTCGAAATCCGATCCCTCGGCGTCCAGCCAGTATCCAGTCGCTATACCGACTGCGCTATCCCTGCTAAAAGCATAATTTCTTTTATAACCCTATTCGTATTCAGATATTTCAAGATTTCTCCAATGCCATACACAGCAGAAATTTTCCCCGTTCTTGATTAGACAACCTTGAAGTCTCCATGACGTCACGCCGTGGCGTGTAAACTTGGAAACTGTTACTGGACATATTTGAAGCATGTGTGATCACAGCCTGACCTGCTTCCTTAGGAACGAGATCAATGGCAAGGTGACTGTAATTGCAATGCGCAAGAAAAGCGAATCCCGCTTAAGATTTTTACACTACGCCATGACGCCTCTTCACAAGGCGTCTCAAAGATTGATCTGTACACTATGATCAGCAAGGAAATTACAGTAATTAAAGTAATTGTATAGGTAGCGTAGTTGATCGAGGCACTATGCTACAAGCCGGAAGGTCGCGGGTTCGAGTCCTTATGAGGTGGATTTTTTTTTAATTTACCTAATCCTTCCAGCGGCACTGTGGCCCTGAGGTCGACTCAGCCTCTAACAGAAATGAGTACCAAATCTTCTTGGAGGTGCGGCCGGAGCGTAAGGCTGACAACCTTACCGCCATTTGTGAGCCGATTGTCTACAGAAATGTTGAAGCCTCGACGTATCACAACCCTATGGGCCTTCAAGGCCTCTTACAAGTATAGCTTTACCTTTGCTTATAGAAGCAAGAATAGAAAGAAAGGAAATGACAAAGAAAGAAGGAGAAACGAGAAGGGCAAAAGTGAAAGCCACATGGAATGGAACAAAGAAATACAGAAAGAGAACGAAATTAATGAATGTAGTGAGGAAGTAAAGAAAATAAAGAGAAAGAGAAAGAAAACAGCGAAAGGGATATAGGATAACCCTAAGTGAGCCGATCCCGGTGTTTGTTTGGCGTAATTCCTTCCAGCGCCGAGACGGGGGGCTTTGAATCTCGATCAGGTCGTGAATGTCTGTCCGTAAATTTCTAACATGTGTGAGGGTACAGCATTTGCGATATTCTGATACACCATGCAAGTTCCTGTCGCCTTACTGAATATGATTCAGAGAACAATGGCAACAGACCCGAAATCTTAGAGGCGAAGAATAATTTATCTCGTCCAACGGGGTAGTCAACCGCTTTCAGCTAGCAGTCTCTAGATTGAATGCCATTGTCTCTTTTTTTTTTTTTTTTNGTAGTTCCAACGTATATTCTGGAGGTAACAGGTTCGAATCTCGACACATAATTTTCGGATTTTTATTTTCTTCAGTTCATCTCAGGCCTATAAGTATATACTATACAAGCTATCCTTGTTACAGGCCTTGAAGGCCCATAGAGTTGTGAGACGTCGAGGCTTCCACATTTCTGTAGACAATCGGCTCACAGATGGCGGTAAGTTTGTCAACCTTACGCTCCTGCCGCCCTTTACCCCCAAGAAGATTGAGTACTCATTCCTATTAGAGGCTGAGTCGACCTCAGGGCCACAGTGTGGCTGGAAGGATTAGGTAAATTAAAAAAAAAATCCACCTCATAGGGACTCGAACCCGCGACCTTCTGGTTTGTAGCATAGTGCCTCCACCAACTACGATACCTATACAATTACTGCCATTTCCTTGCTATATAACAGTGCATCAAGTAGTGCAGTGCTGCTGTCTCCTCAGTTGTTTCCATTTCATCGTCTATAACAGGTATGCCCAACGCGTCGATCGCGGGACGATTTTAGGTCGATCTCATAGGCCTATAAGGAAATTATACGCGAAAAGCATGTAAATTCACTTGTAATATAATATGATTATATTCATATTTTGAAGGGAAAATACGTGTTTAAGTAATCTGTACTTTCAATGTATGTTGCTTTTGCAACAAACATCATGTGTCTTGTTATTTTTGCTTAAGGTGAGGTACGATGATAGGAGGGAGTGGTAGATCACTGACGGTTTTGACACTAAAAAGTCGATCACAACCTGTTTGAAGTTGGACATGCCTGGTCTATAAGTTTCGTCTCCTTCGACGCTTGACAATCTCCGACTCTGATAAAATTGAGAAAGAAACAACTATTGAAGTTCGTCGCCGTTTCATTTTACGTTTATATAGTAGTGGCGTGTAAATAAATTAACTGATAACCAATCAATTACCAAAGTTCCTCTTCGTATTGTTCTACAATAATTTATTACTGCCTTTCGGAAGAAATTAATTATTATGTATTTCCATATTATTATGACTAATCTCCATTATACCAGTTAAAATTTTTCAAAAGAGAAGGGTAAAATTGTCCCTGCGCACTATGAAGACGTATGCGACGGTTGAGATGTAGCTCTATCATTCTTGACCTCGGTACTGGATGGAGGTGAGTGGACAGTTTTCCGCCCCATCCACTTTACCCCCTGGAAAGGAGTCCTGTTTCCCATTTTATAAGAGGATGGTTAGGCCACGTGTTCAGTCTGGACTCTGTGTAGAAAAGAAAAATTTCATTGGCCTTTCCGGGAATAGACCCCGACCGTTCAGCACGTCACTATGCCAACTGAGATACCATACTAACTAATATATACAGAATTCTTAATTCAGACATTCTTGTATAGGCATAAATCTCGGTCTGCCACTCTAAGAGAAATTCGCAGACGGAAAGCATTTGAGAGGAAGGCGCTAGAAATACATTTGGGCCCAAGAAACAGTGAGGAACAAGAGATACAAATTTGTACTCCTTGCCTAATAAGCCTATTATTATTCAGAAGCTCAGCTCAAGGAATATGCAACGGGCTACACATGTAGCATGTGTAGATATGAGAAATGCATACAAAAATTTTACTCCGAATTCTTAACACTTGGGGGAAGTTTGGTCAGAGCGAGTAAAATATGAATTTCTGATACTACCGCCACACAGTAGAAATGTAACTTCAATATATTCCAATGTGGGAATAAGAAACGTAAAGTTAATTCTCAAGGACAGCGCTTCTAGAAGCGAAAATATATTCCTGCGTTCTCAGGGCTGGAAGAACCATAATCACTTTACTAACCATACTAATACCGTTGCAGTGTGGTAGCAGTTTGATTTTGAGTAGGGGAATTGAAAGCACTTGTATCTCTCAACTTAACTATGCAGATGCTGTATAGCCCTCCGCCCGTGCTAGGGCGGATATTGCGTGCTCACGGCTGTAACAGTAGCACGAGTCTTAAGATCACCAGAGTCTCTAGTCTCGAAGATACCCCACTTCAACATTGGCGTGTAGCCGAAGATTCTATAATTCCTAAAGAATATAAAAATAACTGTTTTCAGGTCGTCAAAAATGATTCCTCAAAAAATTTGGTCCGTGTACTTAATACAAATCTGCAGCGTTAATGAATTGGAATTGATTAGAGGATATCTGAAAACAAGTTTTGTTTTCCTTGTTAATATCTTTGACCATAACTTTTTTGAAGTCCTATATAGTCAATTCCATGCCGTACACGTAACCCCTCCCTTCTAGCTTTCCCATTGGTCAGTTTTGAAATCAGTGACGAAACATGCAAATTTCTTCTACGCTGCCAGAGTCCACTGCCGCTGTTATTACCCCTTAATCTCCCTACCCTCCGCCCTTCAGAGAACTTATATATCCCCTCCTTCGCCCTATCCTTACGCGTTTTACCCCATCCCTTTTAGTTCCTCCTCTGTTCTATTATACAGAGAACTATCTTGTGTTTCTTTTTTACCGAAAACTAGTGCTGGGGTGGGGTTCACAGTAGATGATATGAAAGTTCACCTGTGCCAGTTACGGACAATCACTGATCCAGAGGTCGGTCCCATGCACTGATTAGTTACTGACATGTGGATCTTACCTTTATCATCAATTGAATGGGGAGGCTTGTTCGTTATGCGTGCAGTGTTTGAGTTTTATGTGTGTTACTAACTAAAGGCTCTTTCAGTGCTACTACCTTGTAAAGTGTTGCCCTTGAGGAGAAACCGTGTTCCATTGGAAGACTATGAATGAGAGGAAATACATGTGTACTGTCGCTTACTCCAAATTTCCCGCAAAGCAAGAATTTAGTTATTTTTGGCGTTAGAAATTAAAAACGAAATAAGCAAATGTGGTTATTAATTGTTGTGTAAGACATAGTTAGTAACAAGAATGGTTAGCGAACCTGAGACAATAGGGAAAGTGACTTAGTAATGCTTCCATTCGAATTAATTCCTGTACATTGAATATGTATGAATTTAGAAACTTTCAGGATTTGTAAATATCCAACACAAATTCCTTTGTGGTTATCGGTACATGGAGTGAAATTAAACTTCGAATGTTGAAGTATCTGAAATGCCTTATGGGCGTAACAGTCGATTAGCTTGGATCATCGTTGACGTTCTGAAACGGTTTGAAGCTGCCCAGAATGGTTTAAAAGTGATTAGAAACAGGCCCAGTTTTATAACCAGAATCCATATCGGAAGAGACAAGAACTGAGAGATTGTTATGATATAAATGCCTGAAGTTAACTTTTGAAAGCACACATATATGGTAGATATATCTAGGAGTTTTGTATATATATATATAAAATTTGTCATAAGTACAAGACATTTTCTACATGCGTTATCTCGTTTCTGAAACTCCAATGACTGCATTTTTTACATTATTTTAGAAGCTTATAATATAACGTATATATACTTTTGTATGTTACGACTTTCCTAAGGGTACAGTGATGTTACGAACCAGATGATCAGCTGTTGGACAGTTAACACTGTCTTCGCCAGCTGTAACTTGTTTCCTACGTGATTCATCATTCCAGAACTCTGAACTTTCACCAGATTATCTTAATGGTATATGTTTATGGCGATAAACAATAATTATTTTCATGAATATTATTACTCAACTAACTATCTTTGTCATGGAGGCGCGGTGTGTTTTCTCGGGGGCAGCAACCAAGTTTATTAAATATCGTTTAGACTAGTTTCATAGCGTAGGGTTCAGTCCGTCAAAGAAGGTGTGGAAGAAGGTGGTGAATATATCTCGTAGTCCAAAGAAAGATAAGAATGAACGCAAATAAGAAAGGCGGTGGTGCAGGGAACAAAGGGACTGGCGGAGACGACAAGTCCTCTGGAGGCGGCAAGGATGACTCCGGCAACGGAGGAGAGAAGGCCAATACTGGGGGCGACACGGAGAGCTTGTCCGGAAAGAAACCAGGCAGCGCGGGGGCCTCCACGAGGGAGGCTGCCCTTAGAGTCCTCCAGCTATCCCAGAAGGGTGAGTGGCCTCCTGTGGATCAGGCCCTCAAAGCCCTGGAGAAGATTGTTGCAGCTGGGGGAGAGGAAACCAACACTACACCCCTGCTAGGGGTCGTGGACCCGGTAAGTTGAAAATCATCACAGCTCTCTCTGGCAAACCAAAGGAAAGAACATTTTGATTGTGGAAATTACTTTTAGTTACCTATTAGAAAAATACTAACATGGCGGCCTTGCGAACGGCTGACATGGTAAGGTGCAGTTGTCCCTGTGTTTAACTAATTAAGCATTTTGCCATGAAGGAGATGATGTATAGATCCATATTTTCTTGATCTCGGCAGTAGCTGGTGGTGATTGATCAGCTTCACGCCCCGACCGCTCTACCTCCGGGGAAATAACCCCCCATATCCATTGGATAGGAGGTTGGGTGAAGCCCAGAGGCGGTCTGAACGACGTGGAGAAGAGGAAATTCTTGACCCTACCGGGATTCGAACTCCGACCCGTTGGTCTTCCAGTCGCCATGCCGACTATGCGATCCCGGCTCTTTACTTCTGATATGAGCAAACACAAAAGCCGCATAATGCTTTGCCATGTCTAACAAACTTAAAACCTTCACACTGCCCTAAATGCAGCAGAACCATTTGTAGGAAGCACATTTCAGTCAACTGAAGCCATCATGTAGGGATAACTGTAGTAAATTTAAATTACAAAGAAAATGGTTTACATGTACTCCTGAATTTTGTGTGATAAAAGATCCTGAAGGATATTCAATATTTTAAAACCTTTTCAGCCTATTTCCCTAAAGTTGGATTATGAGATCACCATGCTTTTTTATGTCTGTGAATCCCCGCCTATTAAATTTTAATGCCTGAACCAATCCACATGAAACCTTGCATGTATATCACGGAATCTAAGCCAATCTCAGCGGCATACTTCACAGATCCCTCCCATAAGTATTTGTGTCTCTCTTGTCGTTGCCTAGGCAAAGCCTCGCTAAAGTGTATCCTTATTTTCGTTGCTAGGCAACGGCTCTGTAAACATGTTCCCGCGGCACCGAATACACACAACAATAGACAAATCGTTGAACGCGTGTTTCTGTGGGTTTGGCTATGTATCCCCCTAAAGTTGCTATGTAATCTCTGTAATGACTTTCCCGCTGCAATGAAGAATTTTTGAAGGCGTCTTGCTCTATGCAACCATTGTCATATCAAGGGAAAAAAGGAGTTCAGTTCTTCTCAGATCTTCTTGTCTTCGTATAAATATAAGTAACAACAAGGTGGGAACGTACGAAGTCTGTGTTTTGCTTACAGCTCGATAGTAATACTTAAGAACCAATGTAAAATATTGCATGGCCAAAGATAACATACGTCCACAAGATTTGTACGGAATGCTCTTATATAGTAATAATTCACAAGTCCAGCTGCAATGTAGAAGTGTGAAATTAAGTTATACATAATTCTGACATAGAAATATACGAATGTGTTAGTACGAATTCTGGACATGAATAGAAAATCCAGTCGTACATTTCTGTTTAGTATGTTGCTGCTGTACGGGTTGCGACCAAAGCAGAATTCTACATGCTACTTTATAAGTGTTAATATGATTCAAAGAACTCATGACCCATATTGCTAATGTAGTAACAGTTAAATGCATGATAAATGCCTCTTGCTAAAATATTCAGAAATGTGGGCGTGGACGTCAAATCTATTCGGAAAAACCTCGCTGTAATAAAGGCAAGGTCCGTTTCAAGATAGCCCAAGTAAACCTTCAGCTGAAATTATGTAATTCAAACAACAGAAAGTAGGTAAGATTTGAGGTTATCACGGCGGTGACTATGAAGAAAGCAGTCTTCTGGGATTTGGCACCGTGTATATGTGGTGTTAACCGACGTTTCGGAGGAACGTATCGCCTCCATCGCAGACTCAGTCTGCTTTTACCGGTTCTCGCGTTCTCTTCGCTTGCGGAATTCTTATATTTTTCCTTCTACCCTGAAGATGGAGGCGATACGTTCCTCCGAAACGTCGGTTGACACCACATATACACGGTGCCAAATCCCAGAAGACTGCTTTCTGCAACAGAAAGTAGGCTTACAATGTATAGATTCTCATATGTCTTATTAGCATCGAGAGAAAGGGCTCCAGAACACTGGGTGGCGGTGGTGGTAATAGTAGTAGTAGTGGTAGTGGTAGTGGTGGTAGTAGTAGTAGTAGTAGTAATAGTAGTAGTAGTAGTAGTATACCAGGTCTTGTTTTTGTAATTAGTGAAGTAGAGTTTCTCTTGAGTGGATATAATACCTGCTCAGCTAGTCTAGAAATTCCTCGTCCTTAATGGTGCTCAAGATTCATTATAATGTTCAGAAAAGTACGACACTGAATTCACTGAATTCACAAGGAATAATTTTCAGTAACATGCTATATATGTGATACGTACACCTGAAAAAGGCGAAGCCTATTCAGTAGAAACAAACACATTGTATCATCAGAGAGACTGTTTTGTAAGGACTATGACCTCAAGAGTTCAGTTACAAAAAAAAAATCTCTGGTCGTGAGTCTCAAGGGGCTTGGTGCCAAGACAAACTGATTGGCTGTAAACTGCCAGTCGTAAAGTAACTCTGATTCTGACTCTGACTCTGAGGATCAGTATATAGAGTTTTTGGATTCTGCTTTCGGAACAGACGTGGCAGCTAATCATGTGGGCAACTTGGAACGTCTGTTAGCTGTCGTGTAGGCATTACAGGTCAGTTAGGAAAAAGTAATAAACGAAATTAAGGCCCGCCGAGAAAATATGGAAGCCGAATATAAAGATCTGATGGCCCCAATAAATGCTGGCCAAGAGGAGATGAAAACAGCCAAGAAAATACCGGAACCACTCAAGAAAGAAACTTGAAGGCAAGATGGGCATATCCATGAAGACGGTCCAAGAAAGACTGGAGACCACGAGAAAGGCCGGCCAGGAAAAAATGAGAGCTGAAATCCTGTTCTGTTTAAATTTTTTTCATATCGTAACAGTCAAAGTTCTGAACTCATGCAGAACAACAGATAGAATTACAGGTTAGTATTGTAACGTACAATGCGCACACACTCATACGAGGCATGCGCTATAGGACAATCAGACATCTTATTATTATTAAACTAGAAGTTCTGCGAAGAACTAGTCACTTTCTTTCGATACGTCACGGACCGTATAGAAAACGACGCGTCCAACAATTTTGCTATTATTGTGTGTGTGTATTCGTTGCATAGGTAACGTTCTTACAGAGCCGTTGCCTAGCAACGATAGTGGAATTTATTAAGTAGGCCATTGAAATGGCCTCAAATGCCATATTTTAATACTACGTTTCATAAAGATTTTTGTCCGTCATTCAGAAGTTGATGAAAGACATTAGACAGGCACAGAGAAAATGTTGTGATCTCGTAAGTCTACGTTTATATTTTTAAGTAAGGAAAGTAGACTAAAAAAAATAGCAGTCCATTAGAGTTTCGACATGATAACTTGGCAACATGGTGTCGTTTTCTCATATCCTGTTTGGGCATGACAGCATAATAGGTGGCTAGAGTTCGTATAAAATGTGCCCTACTTTTCCACATGCAGTAGAGGTGTTGATAACATTGATAGGCACAAAAATAACCATATAAATGAGGTTTATTATGCATATTAAACTGACACCATTCTCGTTCTTTGTGCATAAGATGAACAGTTCAGGCAAGAAGTGTTGCCATCTATTCAACGACAAATTAACCTACGAGAACTGCGTGGTAAAAAGTTGCTTAGTTTAACGAATTAAGTTTTCACGTTGTGATTTAACTTATACGTTATTTTCTTCAGTCAAATCACCATTGGTCTCTTGTAGCAGATCAATTAGTACGAAACATGCTCATCATATTCGATTTAGAGTCTAGAGTTCGTATATTATTTAATTAGGCACCGGCAACCCTCTTGTTTTCATGGTTTATTTCAGCTCTTCTCAATTTGTTCCAGTATGCTTAAGTTGTTAGAAATACGCCTCAAACAATTTTTTTCCAATTCTTTTGAATCCGCCTTACGTAATAACCTCTTAAATTCATATAGAATGGATACCTTCATCTGTTGATGAAGTAAAAATACACTATATATATATATATTATAACTTTGGTGTTATATAATCTAATTTATTATATTTTTACGTCAAGTACTTTATATAATTAATAATATTGTATCCAATTTTACTAGTTCTGCGGTTCAATGGTGTATATATGTTACCATGTATTTGCCTGATGATGGCTATTAATAGCCGAAACATGTAGCGGAGGCAAAACTAGGCACTGATCTTGATATTAGTTGTGTTGTGACGGTTGTACTATAGAGGTTGTATATAAGTTATTGGGAAGGGTAGGTGTGGGTGTTAACGGAAGTATGCTTATTATTTTGTTTGCAACAAGAGGTAGAAACACATAAAATAGCAAATATATGCAAAATTATTTGCGGATATAGAAGATCACAAACACAGTAATGATGAAATCGATTAGATTTTAAGTACGAAAAACTAAAAGATACATTTTATAAGGATAGGCAAATTAATATCATAGCATTTGGTCGGGAGACTGAAAGGAACTTGAATGATTTCCAAATATATATTGTCGTCAATTGTTCATCTCTTCAAGAAAATCTATGAAATTAATTCGCGAAGAATTAAGTACGAGTATTCAGGTGCGCAGTTCATCGTACTGGAAGATGTTGTCAAGATCTGAATTTATACATATATATCGTGTAAAAATGTTGGCCAAATAAACAAGAGATAAAATGAAGAAAATTTTATGATTCTAGCAGGAATATTTTTCCATAAGATTTTGCTGGCGTTTAATAACATTCGTAACGTTACCAGACAAAGAGAAGCGAGAGGATAATCAAC